GGATATGTTATGAGATGCATGCAACAAAGAATGAAGTCATGTTCTTCACTTGCATATACAGTGTTTCCATTCACTAAATACCTTTTATTTTTTAAAAAGGTGGGGAGAGATAGCATGGGGAGAAATTCCAGATATAGGTGAAGGGGAGGAAGGCAGCAAATCACACTGCCAAGTGTGTACCTATGCAACAATGTTGCATGTTCTTCACATGTACCCCAAAATCTAAAATGCAATAAAAATAAAAAACAATATTCTACTTGATGCAGGTTTTTTCTTCATGACAAGCAAATACCCAAGAGGATCCTGTCCTTTCATTGATCGAGAAAGATTTTCCCAAAGTTCAGTTCAGTTCAGACATACACTGTCCCTGAATGGGCATTGACGCTTGTCAACAAGTGGACTCTTCTGTCAGAGAAACACACCTTTGCTCTTGTGGATTCTTCCCTCAGACAAACACACATGTCCCCACATGGACTCTTTCCTAGCCTACCACATATGTCTTCACATTTACTCTTTCCTCAGGAAACAGACATTTCCTCATGTGGACTCTTGCCTCAGACAAGCAAACATGTCTCCATGTGATCTCGTCACACAGATAAGTACACGTGTTTCCACACTGCCTGTTCCCTGACACAAGCACATATATCCAACGTTGAACGGCTTTATGGCAAAATGAACTCAAGGTAATGACAACAGTAAACCCCCTCCATGACAAGGTGTAGATCTGCATTTTTTTCATTTTAACTTAACTTTGCCTCATTTTCAGGAACAGTGGTTTGCAGCTCTAAGTGCACTGATTACAGACAGATGTGCATTTTCTCAGGAAATCTATTTCTTATGTTTTTAGCAGACTTATTTGATGATAATATTTGCTACTCTGAAGATACCTGGACACTGTCCACATTAGAGAATAAGAAATAGTAATGGGCAGATTAACCCTGTGGATCCAGACCCAGGAATCCTATGACCCTGCCCTCCCTGAAATAGAGACACAGATGATGGATGAGCAACGCTGAGTGGTGCACCATGACCACAAAAAGAAAGACATGGAAAAGTGTCCCCTCCCTTCCTGATGAAAGGCAGCTCATCCCTGTTCCTTCAGGCCCTGGTGAGGAGCCACTCCATGTCTGTGCCCTTCCCCAGTGTCCACACCGTGGGGTCTGCACTGATCTGGATTCCCTTCTCATCACCCTCAATATTGGGGTTCCTTGTGGATCAGGTCCAGCTGTGGCTGCTCCACATGGGGCTGTTCTCAGTCTGCTCCCTCTGTGTTTGCAGAAGTCCTGTGTGAAGTTAACTGGTGGAGTCTGAGGGGGAGAAATTGTGCAGACAAACAGTTCAATGAGCCTGTCCTGCAAAGCCTCTGGATTCACCTTCACTGATTGCAGCATAAGCTTGGTCCAGAGCTTCAGTTTGTGTGGGTGGCAACAGGGAGAAATTCAAGAGGAAGTTCTCAGCGGTGCCCTCCATGGGTACACAGAAGCTTCATGGTCCCCAGGGCACCCTTATGTGCATGGTCTCACTGACATCTTTACTTCTTCTACCACCACGTTTGCTCTGTAAATCACAATGAATGACACTTTCTTCATCAATTTCATATTTGATAAGTCTTTTTTTGGTGTCTTTTAAAACACTGGTAACTTTATCCTATATAATATCCCTGTTAAGACCTTAAAGTCTTTTTTGATGTCCACTTTGTCTGAAATTTACACAGCTACTATAACTTTCTTTTGGTTCATATTTTCATAATCCATGTTTTCTCATTTTATCTTTTCTATTTCTGAATATGTAGGGTAACTTTCTTGTACATAGGTAATAGTTGGGTCTCACCTTTTTAAATCAACTACAATAAATTCTATTTTTAAACTAATATGACTTTTTTCTGTTAAATTTGTTTAAATAAGCATTTCATAATGATGTTTATCTATTAATTTACTATTAAATACCTTTTATAACTGTTGTATTCATTACCATAAGGTTTACAATAAGAATTGTAACTAGATTCTAATGCAAATACTGATATGATCTTGATATGAAGTACAGAGAGAGTGTAACTGTGCTTTGAATTCCTCCTTCCCACCACTCTTTCTTGTTTATTCTCAATTTGCACTTACATACACGATGAAATGTAATATATAATTTTTTATTGTTTTATAAGTTTCATATTATAGCAATTACAAAGATAAAAACTGCAATTCATCTTGATATTCCCATTTTTTACAATCCTAATTTCTTTGCATAGATTTATGTTTTGAATTCATATCACGTGGCTACTAGCAGAGAAACTGTTAAAATGTGCACTGAAACATAAATGTGCTGACAGTGAATAGTGTCAAGATCTTTTTTTGATGACAGAATTTCATTTGCCTTTCACTTTTAATGAAATTGTAATGCCAGTAGAATTCCAGTTGGCATTTCCTGTGTAATTTATTTTCTTTATGCATTATTTTCTTCCTAGACATGATCACATATTACATCTGCTGGGCCTTTATTACCTTGTTTCTGTGAATCTAGTCAGGGTTGGATTTCAAGTTTATGTTTGCCAGGACTGTCAGAGTTGAAGTCAGCTTCTCCTGTTCACAAAATCTTCAGGTTCTTCTGGCAATACTTGCTTTTGTATTCCTGTTTGTGTTTAGGTCTTTACTTTTCATTTTCCCCAGAGAGAGCTTATCTCTTCAGCTGTGACAGGTGTATTCTACTGACAATTTTACTTGGTGACTGTTTGTGTGGTGAAGGGGCTTGGACACAGGGGGACATTTCTCCAGCCTTCTGACTGAGCCTCATTCTTAGCTACGGGTGGTGAGTCTGGGTCTGAAGCATGGCCTTCCAAGAGTTCCTGTACATTCCCTTCCTCAAGTGTCAATGTCTCTTCCCAGCCACAGTGGTTTCTCATCAGTGTCCTCAGCTTCTGACCCACTGTCCTTACCCCACAGATTTAGGATTTCATTCCTCAGGAAAGAGATGGGAGGTGTTTCTGGGTAGAGTCTCCTTGGCATGCTCTGTTTCCTTGTGTTCTAGTTGATTCTACCAGTGCCCACAGGACACAAGATTTAATAAATGCCTCCCGCATATAGTGAAGGGGGATTCAGCATTGATTGGAGCTGCTGTTCTTCCTCCTCAGTCAACACCACAGGATGGCAGGTGGATGAGTTGTCTGGGGACTTCCCCAGTTCTGTGGGAAAAGCCTACAAGTACCGGGAGTTTCACACTCTAACATCATTAGCACACACATCCAAACAACTCAGTAAACATTTCCAGGTTAGCTTTTTCCTATCTTAAATACCATGCTGTGAGTGTCACCTGCCCTAGGAACTATAATAAATGGTCCCTAGTTCTCTCTGCAGGCCCCTATTTTCTCAGACATTAGGTTTTTTTTCTCTGCGACATCAACTCAGATATGCTGAAAGGTTAATATTTTTGTTGTTGTTTAGGTTTTTTGTTAATGAGTTCAGAATAAGATCATCATTTTCTCATTTTTTACATTCCCATGCTTCATATTGGTTTTCTAAATAAAATTCAGAAACTAAGACAACACATCAATTGTGCATTATTTGGTGGTTTTTTAAAGAATTTGAGAAATATTCATGTACTGAAATGCAAGGAACCATTGAAATCAAGGCATGCCTCATTCACATAAAAACACAGGGACATTATCGAATAATCGTGCTGAGTGAAGGAAGCTAAAGAATTAACAGTAAATTTCATGTGATTTCATTTGTGTAAATTGTAGAAGATGAAACTATTCAAAATTGACATGGAGAAGATCTGAATTTTTCTAAGAATAGGGTGGTGAGAGTAACAAAGTGGCGAAACAAAACTACAGAGGGGTGGGAGGAAAAAATAGAGGTTAATTTAATTGCTGACAACATGATTGAAGTGCTGGTTCAGTGTCTGCACACATATATCAACATTTTCCAAGTGCTGAACTATTAATTTGAATTGACTATTGATTGATTTTTTAATAAAGCTGCAACAAAAATGAATCTATTGGCTGAGAAAGAGAAAGAAAGAGATGAATATTGGCACTTGAATAATCACAGACTCCTTAAAGTACACACATGTGAACACTGATTGTATATTTCAGGTAAACCCAACAAAAAGCAAAATTAATTAAAGTTGTTATGACAAGTGGGACACCCTGAAAACCTCACTGGGTATGTCCCACACTGCCCTGGAGCTGTCTCAGGGGAGCAGTCTCCTCCAGTGTTAAAAGACGCAGGCCAGATAATGTGCCTAATTCTGTCCCGATGTGTGATACTGGGCACATTGCACAACTGCTCTGTTCTGTATGTAATTTATCTTCTCTAAAAATGTGACATTGACACTTGCATTAAAATTATTCTGTAAATATATAGATATAAAATATGATGATTGCTGAATAATTATCAAGGCACAATCACATAATCTGAAGACATATTTTCCTGAGAGACAGGATTACGGCCAATGTTTTCCAGGACACTCTCATCTGCTCTGGGCCCTGCCCTCTCCTCAGCTGCCCCACCCGGGAACTTGCTATATAGCAGGAGACATGCAAATTGGGCTCTCCCTCTGCTCATAAAAGCCAGCCCAGCCCTGACCCTGCAGCTCTGGGAGAGGAGCCCAGCCCCAGAATTCCCAGGTGTTTCTATTCAGTGATCAGCACTGAACACAGAGGACTCAGCATGGAGTGGGGGCTGAGCTGGGTTTTCCTTGTTGCTATTTTTAAAGGTGATTTATGGACAACTAGAGACACTGAGTGTGTGTGGACATGAGTGAGGGGAACAGTGGGTATGTGTGGCAGTTAATGACAAGGGTGTCTCTGTGTTTGCAGGTGTCCAGTGTGAGGTGCAGCTGGTGGAGTCTGGGGGAGGCTTGGTCCAGCCTGGGGGGTCCCTGAGACTCTCCTGTGCGGCCTCTGGATTCACCTTCAGTAGCTACTACATGGAATGGGTCCGCCAGGCTCCAGGGAAGGGGCTGAAGTGGGTTGGCGAAATTAATCCTAATGGAGGTAGCACATACTACGCAGACTCCGTGAAGGGCCGATTCACCATCTCCAGAGACAACGCCAAGAACTCGCTGTATCTGCAGATGAGCAGCCTGAGAGCCGAGGACACGGCCGTGTATTACTGTGCGAGTGACACAGTGAGGGGAGGCCCGTGTGAGCCCGGACACAAACCTCCTGCGGGGGCGCGTGGGGCTACCAGGGGGCGCTCGGGACCCACCGAGGACCTGCCAGGTCCCAGGAGCAGGTGCAGGGGGTGGATCCATTTCTTAACTGCAGGAGGCAGGCTTGTTTTTGCAAGACTAAGCAGTCTTATGAGATTGTCATATTTTACTGTGGTTAATTTTCACGAGTTTTTATTGAGATTTGTGTTTTGGTAATTTTTAAATTTATGTGTGGGGCATTTTTTAAAAATACATACCTTCAAGAAATAATTTTTCCTATTAATTCGCACTTATTCTTCCAGAGTTTTATTAATATCTGTTGATATCAGCAACTGCATAGCTATGGGGACATAAATTTACATCCGTAGAAATATGTATACACAGACTTATGCATATATCTGTAGTCTTTTATATTTACTATAAAATAATTATGAAATATGTCCTAAAGAATGAAACTTAATGATTAACAAAATATAAATTATAGTAATCCATAATTGATTTCAGCCATTCTCTATAGTTTACATAAATTGATGTCTATTTGTAAGCTTAAAGATAGTGTAGTGCTTATTTAAAAATAGCCAAGAACAAATTACAAACGTCCTTGTCACACACACGAAAACATAAGTATTTGAGGATTTGAGGTGATGTATATGTCAATTACCTCGATTCAATTATTCCATATTGCATTCATAAATCATTATATAGCTTTGTACCCTATAAATGTATACAACTAAAATTTCTCAATTTTTAATAAAATTTTAATTACATATTTTTGAATCCATCCTACATCATGAATTTTTCTCCCTGCTCAGGTGTGATTAGATTGCCTTGAGAAATTCATTCACCTTCTGGTGTTCTGAAGGCTTCAGCAAGTAGCTCCTAGATGGGCAGAAGCAGGCAAACCATGTGTGTCCCTAGAACTTGAAGCCTCTCTCTCCTTGGATTAGGCCACCTCCTCAGGATTACATGGCTCTTCAGTTTTTTCAACATGCTGTCGTGCCAGATAAGCACAGAAATACCTAATTTCATTATACTTTGCTTCGATTTTTCAAAACAACATACATGAGACCCTTCCTGTGCTTCAAAGTTTCTTCTGAGGACTTTGTATGTGTTACATACTTTCAATTTTTTCTGAGATGGAATGCTGACATCTCCTTATTAGAGATTATTCTTTTAATTTATCTCTTACAATTATTTTTTCCAGAGCCCCCACCCTCCCATTCAGAACCATGGAATGGAGCAGTGCCAAGGATGAGCAGGGTGCCAGGGGCCACCGCATGTGCCAAGTGGGAAGTGGATGCTGAATAAGCTGTAGGCTTTTGTCAAGGAATTATTTGAAGACATGAAGAACACAGATAGGTGACAAATAAAATACATTCACATCCCTTCAAGGGTGAAAACTGAGGAAAGTTTGCCTAAGTGTGTATAGAGGGCCCTATGGCTTTGTTTCTGCCTAGGTCCCAATCTTAGAGTTCTCCCAGGATTTTGTGGTTAGCTGGTCACTCCTCATCAAGAACTGACCGCTACTGTCTTTTCTACATTTCCCCAAAGCGCTTGTCTAATCTGATAACCAATTTGTCTATAAAATGTACAGTTGAAATACAAATATTCATTTGTAATCATCTGGCACAAGTTGTCTAAGAAAAGTTGATAACTAGATGTTTTTCAATCATTTTCACTTAAAATCAGTGGCTAAGCAGTGGTATTTTTTGATAACTACTGTGACTCTTTCAGTAGTTTTATCTTCTGAGAATGTAATCTTGTCTTAGCTTCAATATTATGGGTTTTTTTGTTGCAGTGACTTCCAGCTTTATATTTTCCAGGAATCTGGGATAAACTCGTGATTCTAAGAGTTCCCTAATTTGTCCAGTTTGGTGCGTGTTCCAGAGTATACAATATACTTTCTTGTTTACAAACCAAACCAAAGCCATGCACTGCCCCAAAACATGCTTATTTCCAAATTTGAAAAATCGGAAAGTTCTTTTTTTTTTCTTTTTGAAATGGAGTCTGGCTGTGTTGCCATGCTGGAATGCAGTGGCATGATCTCACTGCAACCTCTGACACCCTGGTTCAAACAATTCTCCTGTCTCAGTCTCCTGAGTAGCTGGGATTACAGGCATGTGCCACCAAGCATAAATAATTTTTGAATTTTTAGTAGAGATGGGGTTTCACCATGTTGGCCGGGATGGCCTTGATCTCTTGACCTCATTATTCACCTGTGTCAGCCTCCCAATGTGCTAGGATTACAGCCATGAGACACTGCGCCAGCCTGGAAAGTTCTAATAAATACAATCACTTCTGCCATCTGGGTTAATTTTACATCACATAGGAACCATGTTCTAAATGAAAGCTTACATTAGTAACAGCAACTTTAGATAAAACCTAGAATTTTACTATTGAGATGCAAGTCGTAGCAAATAATATTAGATCGAGGTTCTCAGTGAGAGTGTCTAAATCTTTTCAGTGTATAGAGTCTTCCTCATTAACATGAAGCATTTATAAGCACATTCATCATTTCCAGCCATGCTTCTCCCTGTCTCACTATCACCACAAACTATGACCTCACCTGGAACTTGGGTTAATTTCCAAATAAATTATTTTGTAATCTTCATTCCTCTAGATTATTATGGGATGCTATTTCATTAGAAAGTTAAAAATAAAAATTGTACTAACTAAACAACACAAAGTCACTAATAAAATGCAAAGCCTGGATGGGAGAGGCTCCAGGCCTGGATAATGCAACAGTTCATGTATGCAGGTAGTTTCTTTACCCAATTCTACACCCAGCATGTCAGCTTCATGCTCCATTTGACTTCTATTGTGCAGTGACATGGGAATGGCACCCTCAAGGGTTACACACACGTATAAAATCTGCTGGGAATAAGGGAGGAGAAGATTCTGCAATTTTCCTCTGAAGGACCAGGAAAGCCCGGACAGCCCATGCCCCCGATCTCCATGACTGCACCATGTGCCCACATGGACATTCTTCCTTGATAGGATAAGAGAACTCCTTTCATGAGGCTGAGCATTTTATGATATAAATTACTAGAGACTAACATTGAATTTTTAATAATTAATTTTTATAACCTAAATTCAATTATCCCAAATTGTTACCTCTTTCTTCAGTGTAAAATTGCTTGCCATGATTGAGTTTTAGGTAAATTCCCAATGTTTACAACTAAACTTCCAAGGGAGTTTTGAGAACAAAAAATAAATGAGGGCAGAGAAACCCATTTTTACTGTATTTGCCACCAAACTTGAGTGAATCCAGCTCTACCTTTGATCACTGCTGCTTCTCTGCAAAGTTCAGGTTTCCCCTTCTCACAATTCCAACACAGACTCTTCCTCTCCCAAATGCTTGGCCTCCACGTTCTGTAAGGTCACACTCTGTTCTCAGATTGTTATCTAAACCATTTTATGAGTGTGGGAATGAGCCATTAAATGGAAATTTTATATCTTCTCAGCATGAATCCCAAGAGAGGTCATGAATTATTCTCCTGGTTGTGGTAACTGATTTGTCTTGGCATGTTCACTACTAGTAATATTCAAAGCCATTTCATTTAAATATTTGTTGCTTCAATTTTTGTTGCTATGACACCCCACTAGCATTATAACATGACCTCGTATCCAGGCTCAGTTGTCATTAGTAATAACCACATATGTCAACAGCTAAGCAACCTTTTTCCAGCAGACATAATGTTCTCTTTTCTGGGGATAAAGGCACACTGATGAGCTAACCCCACTTACAAGAACATATACACAGTTATTATATTTTCATTTATTTGACTAATAAGTTATATCATTTTCTCTTCAAATTATTTACCCTCCAGAAACCTGAACAAAATCTTCTGCATCTATTCAAATCATAAACTCAGAAACCACATGGTGAGTAAAAGCTCACCTGGTTGTGGACACTGGTTCCAGCTCTTCCCCTCCAATGTCCCACCACACCTCAGTCCACCTGTCCAGATTCTATCAAGAAAGCGTAGCTCCTGCACAGTCAAGGAAACAATTTAGTGAAGAGAGAACTGCAGATGATAGGAAATATTTGAAACTATTCATATGACAGAGGATTACTATCAAGCAAATAAAATAAACTCATCTAAACTGCAAATAATAATGTGATTAATAATGGGCAAATAACATAACGAGTTATGTTACAACATCTCTCAAAAGAAGAAATTAAAAAGGATAGATAGATACATAGGTGTATATACATACATATATTGCTAGAAATCACTAACATTCAGGAAACTGCAAATTCTCAATGAGATATCTTTTCATTCTTCATCTTTGCTAGAAAGTCTGTTATAAGAAAGACAAAAAAAAAAAAACACCAAAGCTGGACAGGCTGCATAGAAAGGGAAACTCTTATAGGCCACTGGTGGAAATGTAAATTACTACAGCCATCATGGGAAAAAATAGAACTACCATGTAATTCAGCAATCCAACTGCTGCGTGTATATCTATTTAAATAATTAAAGAAAAAACTAATATTGAAGAGATACCTGTACACCCATGTTTATTGCAGCACTAATCAACATAGATATGAGATCAGCGTATGCATCTATCAACAATGAATTGATGAATAAAATGTGGTATATTTACACAACTGAATAATATTTAACCTTTACAATGAAATTCTGCCATTTGAAGCAATATGGATGTAATTGGACACCATTATGTTGAGCAAAACAAGCTCGACACAGAAAAATAAACACCACATTTTCTTAGTGTTATGTAGAAATTTTAAAAAGTTGATTTTCTAGAAGTAAATAGTAGAGTAGTGGTTATAAGATGCCAGGAATGGGAGGAGACAGAGAGATAAGAAGAAATTTGTTAACAAATGCACAATTACAGGTAGACAGGAGGGACATGCTCTGTTGTCCACCAGCACAGTAGGGTGAATCCAGGTAGAAATATATTGTATATTTTATGTTTACAAGTAGGCAGAAGGGGCATTTTGTATACTACCAACACAAAGAAATGTTAGTGTCTGAGTTCATGAATTTGCACATTGTTCTCATTTGGTCATACCACATGGCACACATGTATTGAAATATTACACTGTACCCCATAAATATAAACAGATTTCATGTGCCAACTTAAAAAATTCCCTTTAATTAAAAAGGATATTACTGGCATGCATTACACATGATTTAACACAGAGCCAGGAATGAATGCCATTTTTATTTGAAATAGTGAATTTCCTAACAACGTAGTTGCATTCATTTGCACAAACTGTATTTGATCATGGTAAGCAAAGACAGGCTTATACATAGAATAATATATACTTCTACTTAATACTATACATGCAAATAATTTGAAAACAACTATGTAAAAAAAGTGAAGTTGAGGAAATGTGTGCCATAGCATGCGATATGTGAGCCCTTTCTTGTGCACCACTCTGTCCATGGTAGATGTGTGGTTTGCGTGTCTGTGTATGTTTGCGTTTGTTCTACTTGGGGTTCTCTGTGATTCTAGGATCTGTAATTCAGCGTCTTCCACAAAATTGAGAACATTCTCAGCCATTATTTTATTTTCAAATATTTTCTTTGTATTATAATTTCTCCTTTGCAGATTTAAAATATACATATACTATACTTTTTGATATTGATGCTTAGTATATTTCTTCACTCTCTTTTCCTTTGCAATTTACTTTGTGAAATTTCTAGTGATGTTTTATGCATATGGTTTCATTTAAAACTGACTCAGCTCTACTGATGGACATGCCCAAAGCTTGCTCAATGTTTATATTGCATAGCTTTTAACATCTTATGCATTTCCATTTTTTCCTTTTTAATATTTTCATATTTCAGTTCCCTATCTACTTCTGCATTATGTCCACACTTTCTGTAAGAGATTTTACATATGAATTATAGTTACTTTATATATTTTATTTAATTAGATAGTTACAATATCTGTATCATTTAGAAATCTCATGCTGGTCATTTATTATGACTTTGGCATTTCTCATTAATTTATGTAATAATTGCCGATAGCCACACATGTTGGGTTAGACAGTTGATATTGGCTTATTATTTTATTTTATGCACTTTCTGCCTGTATTTGTCCACACTACCTTTGTGGAGCCTTTATTGTGGAAGTGTATGTGAATCTTCTCAGAGCTACATCTGAAATTTACTTTGGCAGTGGTCGTCAGAGTTGAAGTCTGTTTTTCTGTGTCCCCCAGAGACATCAGATCCTCCAGTGGTACCCTGTTTTTGTTTTCTGCTTGGCTTTGCCTCTTCACTGTGTCCCCTCCCCCAGAGAATCTCTTTCAACTCCCTCAGGTGGATTAAAATTTTATTTAACTGACAATTGTGAAATTCATAGAAGGCAATAGAATAAATGAAGATTTTCTGGACTTTCATGAATCCAAATTGTGACTATGAGTCTGAGTGTGACCTTTCACATGTTTCTGGACTTCCTCCAGATGATATGTTGGTGTGTGTGTTCTTGCTCTTTTCCCTGAGGTAGAGTCCTCTTGTTTACACCAGTTGTTCCCACAGCTCCAATGTTCTCTTCCGGTGTTATCGCCTTCCAAATTCACTGACCTGACCCACAGATTAAGACTGATTAAATAAAAAATAGAGGGGAGACAATTCTCAGTGGAACTTAGATGAAGGCCTCTTTTACCATCTCAGTTCCTAAGGGTTTGCACCAGTGCCCTTAAGATGCTGGTTTTGGTGGCTGGTCCCTGCAGAGTAATTTCTTAGCTCTGCAGTGGGGATAAGGGAGGTGAGACTAAATTCATTTCAGAGTGTAGGCTCTTTTTCTATCTCAGACAGACACATTGGGACAGAAAGATTTTTGTGACTGTCCCCATTTTGGGGAAAAGGAATTCAAGAGAATAGGAAAGCGCTTCAGTGTGTGGTCCCTGAGAAGTTCACACTACAACACGTTTACCACACTCGATTTCAAGGTGTCCAATATAAAAGTGTGTTTTTATCTTGTAATAGCTACATTTTATATGTCATACTCTGCCTCAATTCAGCTCATACCCTAGGTTTCTTACTCACTACAAGAACTTGCCTCTCCCTAGATTTCACATTTGATGTTTACCTTGAAACTTCAAGTATCTAAAGTATTAAAAAACAAATTGGCCAGTGGTGGTGCCTCACGCCTGTAATCCCAATATATTGGGAAGCCAATGGGAGTGGATCATCTGAGGTCAGGAGTTCTAGACCAGCCTGGCCAACATGGTAAAACACGCCTCTACTAAAAATACAAAAAAAAATTATCCAGGCATAGTGGTGGGCACGTGTAATTCCACTATGCGGGAGGCTGAGACAGGGGAAGCAGAGTTTGCAGGTCAGACGATTGAACTCCAGGCTAGGCAAAACAATGAGACTCTATCTCAACAAAAATGCAAATTCCAGCTTCTCTGTTTATCTATTATTGTTGAAGTTATGGTGGTAAAAAATAAGTAAAATATATTATTCATCTACGTACATTTCTAAGCTGTGTAGCAGATTTTTTGGTAAGACCAAGAGTAATAAAAGAATGCAAATATTGTTAAACTGCTTAATAGGAAAACAAATTATCATAAATGTGTTCACTGGAATGCTATCCATAATTTATAATAAATAAATGCCTGATACACAGAACAACAAAGTAAAATATCTAAGTATTTATGTTGAGTAAAATAAGCCACGTGTGGCGAAATGGAGGAAATACTGACATAAAAAAACATTACCGACACAAATATTTAAAAATGAAATAGGGTGATCAGGGCAAAGTGTTTATCACAACACAATTTCATAAAACAGTATATGTTCCGAATACCATCATTGTCAGCAAACTCCTGCAGGACACTGTCATCTTCTCCGGGCACAGCCTCCCCACCAAGCATCCCACCCTACAGCTTGCTATATAGTAGGAGACATGCAAATAGGCCCCCCTGTACTGATGAAAACCAGCCCAGCCCTGACCCTGCAGCTCTGAGAGAGGAGCCTTAGCCCTGGGGTTCCAAGGCATTTCCACCTGCTGATCAGCACTGAACACAGAGGACTCAGCATGGAGTGGGGGCTGAGCTGGGTTTTCCTTGTTGCTATTTTAGAAGGTGATTCATGGAAAACTAGAGAGACTGAGTGTGTGTGGACATGGGTGAGAGAAACAGTGGGTATGTGTGGCAGTTTCTGACCAGGATGTCTCTGTTTGCAGGTGTCCAGTGTGAGGTGCAGCTGGTGGAGTCTGGGGGAGGCTTGGTCCAGCCTGGGGGGTCCCTGAGACTCTCCTGTGCGGCCTCTGGATTCACCTTCAGTAACTACAACATGGACTGGGTCCGCCAGGCTCCAGGGAAGGGTCTGGAGTGGGTATCATACATTAGTTATAATGGGGGTAGCACATACTACGCAGACTCCGTGAAGGGCCGATTCACCATCTCCAGAGACAACGCCAAGAACTCGCTGTATCTGCAGATGAGCAGCCTGAGAGCCGAGGACACGGCCGTGTATTACTGTGCGAGAGACACAGTGAGGGGAGGCCCGTGTGAGCCCGGACACAAACCTCCTGCAGGGGCCCCCGAGACCACCAGGGGGCGCCCGGACGCTGTGCACGGGGCTGTCTCGGGGCAGGTGCAGGTGCTGCTAAGGGCTGGCTTCCTGCCATGGTCTGGGGCTGCCTCGTTGTCACATTTCCCCAGGGAACCTCCCAGATTTACAATTCTGTACTAACATCTGACGTCTCTAAAGGCAAAACTTTCTTTTCTCCTTTTTGTTTCTTTTTGTAACGGGAGTACAAATCCTCACATCACAGTTTCAATTCCACAGTGTCACTTTGGGGACAGAAATAATCCTTTCGTGGTCCACAGAATGAGAGTCCTGAGGAATCCCTGGGAAACCTGGGAAGTGTTTTCCAGTTGGACTCAGGGCAGAGACCTCCATGGGAATCTTTGACCAGAACAGGCTTTAAGTTCCGATGGGAGCCAAGAGACAAGCTCACTCAGGGTCAGGGTCCTAAAAACCTGATAGTTTCATAGCTTTTCTCTCTCGTCTTGTAAAACGGTGCACATCTGACTCAGACTGCTTCAGTTGACCCTCTTTCTGCTCATCAATTTTGTTCTCTGTACATTCGATTCTCACAGTTCCCTTTCTCCTCTTCCCTGAAAACAGAGGATGTGTTCTGTAGTCAAAATCCCAGGGCTCAGGTCTGCAGGACCTGGGTAGGCTGAGGGACTTTCTCACTCTCTGTTGCCTGGATGCTCCTGTTGTCTTCTGTGCATGGAGGTATTTGAGAAATGAAGTGACATTAGCCGTGAAGGGAATAATATATATTAATATTATTAATAATAATATATAGTATAAGGAGGTTAACTGAATCAGTCTGAGTCAGATGTGCACCGTTTTACAAGATGCGGGGGGAGAGCTGTAATACCATTGGGTTTTAAGGACTCTGACCCTGGATGAGCTTGTCTCTTGGCTCCCATCAGAACTCAAAGCCTGTTCTAATCAGAGATTCCCATGGAGGTCTCTGCCTGCCCTGAGTCCATTAGTATTGAGAAAAAAGGGGCCTGCAGAGAGAACTAGGGCTGATTTATTAGAGTACCTGGTGCAGGTGCCACTCACAGCATAGTATTTAAGATAAGAAAAAGCTAACCAGGAAATGTTTAATGAGTTGCTTGGATGTGTGTGCTAATGATGTTAGAGTGTGAAACTCCTGGCACTTGCAGGCTTTTCCTGCAGAATTGGGAAAATCCCCAGACAATTCACCCACCTACTGTCCTGAGGTGTTGACTGAGGAGGAAGAACAGCAGCTCCGTTCAATGCTGAATCCCCATTTACTATGTGCGGGAGGCATTTATTAAATCTTGTGTCCTGTGGGCACTGGTAGAATCAACTAGAACACAAGGAAACAGAGGACACCAAGGAGACTCTACCCAGAAACACCTCCCATCTCTTTCCTGAGGAATGAAATCCTGAATCTGCGGGGTAAGGACAGTGGGTCAGAAGCTGTGAACACTGAAGAAAAACCACTGTGGCTGGGAAGAGACACTCTGACACTCGGGGAAGGGAAGGAACAGGAACGCTTGAAAGGCCGTGCTTCAGAGCCAGCCTCACCACCACAGCTAACAAGGAGGCTCAGGCAGAAGGTTGGACAACGTCCCCCTGTATCCAAGCACCTTCACTACACAATCACCACGTAAAAATGTCAGAGGGATGCACGTTCCACAGCTGAAATAAGTTTTATGGAGACAGCTATCCCAGGTGGGGGAACCTCGCTTCCCCCCGCCCCCCATCAGAGATTGCTGCTCAGCTGTAATTGAGGGATTCATAATTAAAGCACCTATAAGCCTATGTCGGCACAGCTCCATTGTGTAACGTACCACCAGTGGACTGCAACTAACACCTCAAACTTGATTTTTCTGACCCTATTTTCTCATCTTATTCATTTGTAAGTTTGGTTATAGAAAATGTTATCTTTTCATTTCTGATTCAAACCTTAGAAGTTTATGGACTCATTAGCAATAATACAAAATTTGTCTAGTTTTTGGAAATGTAAATGAATGTCCATACAGAGTGTGTGTGTGTGGTGTGTGTGTGTGTGTGTGTGTGTGGGTGGGTGTGTGACTTATACCTCAATGAACAGGATTACTGAATTATATCATCAAATTACAATTAAAATTGCTCAAAATTGCCTGCAGTAATATCTGTGAAGCTGATCCTGTCACCTTGCTGTGAGGATGCTCAGTGCACAGGTGAGGTCTCGCAGGAGAGATCCAAGGTGCAGCGCCAAGGCCTGGCAGAAATCCTGGCCTGGAGCCAGACATATGACTGGGTGTCTCAGAAGCAGATCCCCCAGCCCTCTTATCTGGGCTGCATGGGCAGCAGAGAGCCAGCAGGAGATGGTCAGAACTCACCCAAACAGAGCCCCAAATAGCAGCAGATGCAGAGAGAAACCAACCAGAGAACCTATGACCACAATCCAGAGCGGTTTTCTTTTGCTTAACAGCACCCAATTCTAAGGAGACCACCCACTGTATCATCTGTAACTCATAAGTTCTGTTCTAAAGTAAACAGAAGTAAATATTACTCTGCATTTAACTCCTTGAACCTGGATCATTTTTCTGAGAATGCCATCATCTTCAGTATGATGGTTATCATGTCAAAATCAACATGCATATGTAGTCACCATGAAGACTGTTTTATCTTATAGTAAAAATGTTTATTCAATTAAAAATTACATGTCTTGGGAAAAAGCCTGTATTAGTTCATCCTCACACTGCTACAAAGATATCACCTAAGACTGGGTAATTTATGAAGAAAATAGTTTTAATTCACTTACAGTTCTGAATGGTTGGGGAGCCTCAGGAAACTTAAAATTATGGTGGAAGGTGAAGGGAAAGCAAGTACCTTCTTCACAACACAGCAGGAGGGAAAGAGAGAAGGAGGAGGAGGAGAGGAGGAGGAGGAGAAGAAGATGACGACAGAGGAGGAGGAGAAGGAGGAGGAAGAGGAGGAGGAGGAGGAGAAGGAGGAGGCACAAACTTATCAAACAATCAGATCTCCTGAGAACTCTATTGGGAGGAAAGCATGGTGGAAACCACTGTCACAATTTAATCACCTCCCACCAGACCCCTCACCAGACACTTGGGCTTTTACAATTCAAGTTGGGCATTTGGTGAAAACACAGAGCAAAGCATATCAGGATTTCTAGGTGAGAATTGGTCAATTAATAAGTTATTAATGAAGTATCAGAAGAATAAATAACACTAGTGTTGTTGTTACACAGTTAATCTGTAAATCATCTCAATATTCATTTTATGAGAGGTCTGAGACAAGTAGGAGATGGATAGAGAGAAAATTAATTCTACCAAGTTTTATATATATATGTACACATATATGTAGTATAAAAATAGTATTTAATATAGTATTTCATAGAATTAATATTATACCTAGTATTATACATACATAAAGAATTTGATAGAATTTATATATATACTATATGTGTAAATACATATATATATACACACACACACACACACACACTCTATGATGTCTATAAAAATGTCCCCTGAGATTTAGTGTTATATTTTGCATATCTATGTATATTCCAGGATAAATATTAGTGGACAACATAAAATTCGAATCATAAAATAGATTCTAATATTTGTGTGCCAGATGATCACTTTCAAACACGGTTTAACGACAGAAACCAGATATATTTTTCTACCAGGAATTACTGAAAAACGCAGTGAAATTTCTTAAACACGATTTTAAGATGCTTGACATCAGGCAACAAAGACAGTGATTACTGACAGAGAGGAAATAAGCAAAAGGAGCCCTTTGATTAATGCACACTCATATACTTCCTTAAGGGGAAGACAGGCTACATTCCTGGAGTGGAACCATGTGGATTTAGATAAAAACCTCTCATCCCAGGTATTCTTTTATAGCAATTAAATAATTGCTCCAACAAAGAAAGTACTTGATTTTAAAGGAGATGATGAGGGTGGAACCATCAGAATGAAATTAGGGACCTCATAAGTAAAGACACCAGAGTCTCTTTTTCTCCCTGTCTCTCTCTCTCTCTCTCTCTCTGATACGCACACACACACACACACACACACACACACACCCCACAGTGAAAAGATTATATGATCAAGTAACAATATGATGACTGCAATGAGCCAAAAGCAGGGGCCTCAAAATAAAACCGATCTTATTAGCATCTTGATCTTGGAGCTCCCAGCACTGAGAATTTAGATAAAATTAATGTTGCATGAGTGCCAATTATGATAGTTTGCAATGACAACTTAAATTGACAAAAGACAATCTGTGATTAAGAAGTGGGATTCTGATGTTAGAACTATTTAAACATTGTAAAAGTAACTTGGAATTGGCATGTGTATAAAAAGATGTATACCTTTTATATACATGAAGACATTTGTATATTGAAGTCCATTCTGATATGCAGAAATGACTTAGTGGTTTTGGAAACTGGAAGAATCGTGATCGTTATCATAAAGTTGTTAAAAAGGACTTGGTTGGACTGTGTTATAATATTTAGTGAAAGAGAACGTGTGAGTAGTGATAACTTGGGAATAGCTGAGAATAATTCTAAGTAAAGCGTTGAAGATATTGCTTGGTTTCTCCTTAGTGCTTACAATAAAACAGAAAGATAAATTAATATCAGGAAGAAATTACAAACCAAAAAGAAAACAAAAATTGAGGGCTTGGAAAATTCTCAACCTATCCATATCGTAAAAATCAGAAAGTGTATTCTAAAAAGAACACTGAGTATGTGGCTGGAATATCATTCAGTAAGAAGCTTATGTTATTACAGGAAAAGAAATATTTCAGGTTTTAAAGAATGAGGATTGACACCAGATGAATTTGATCAACACTGTTAGAATTTTTTTATTTAACAGGCCAGAATAATGGCTGGCTGTAAATGTGCACCATTCTTCCAGAAGGGAGAAAAATAAACTAATTTATTTTGAAACCACTGGGACCACTGCCTTTATTTCAAAAGACCAGAAAGCCCGTTTCAAAAACCTTGAGAAAAAAAACCACCCAACAGAGGCTTGGGCTTGGGAACACCCAGCAAGCCCTGTGTGCGGGTTGCATGAGGCTTTGAGATGGGACCTTGGCCTAGCAGTGCCTCAGGAGCGATGCCTCTGCCTGAAGCCCTGGAGATGATTCGCTGCCCCAGTAAGCTAGGAAGATTTAGCCAAATAAGATCACACTGGAGCCTTAAAGCCTATGGCAACTTGTTTTCCTGTGCATAGTATTTGCTGCGGATACACCACCCATATTGTTTTGTCCCCTATTTTTTCCTTTGGCAATGAAACTGTCTATTCTATGCCCAATTCACCATTACATTTTGAAATTACATAACGTTTCTGGTGATCTGAACTGAATGAGTATAGAAGCCCAAAATTAGTGTTGTATAATCCTAATCCCCAATGTGATGATATTGAGAGTCTGTGTCATTTGAGATACGATTAGGTGAAAATACTGAAGCCATCATAAATGGGATTTGTGCTCTAATACCAATATACGAGAAAGATTTTCTGTATTGCTTCTCCATCATGAGGTAATACAATAAAAATACAACCATCTGCAAGCCAGGTAGGAAGCCCTGACCAGACACCTGATCATCTGTCTTGGGCTTCCCAGTCGTCAGACCTGCAAGCAACATTTGTGTTTTGCTTAAGTCACTCATTCTGTAATAGCACGTTATCACAGGCAAAATAAAATATCTGCTTTTAAAGCTTCAAAGTGGAAGATAAATTTATTTAAAAAATAATTGTACCTCAAATCTCACCTATGTCTGATTCAGCTTAAAGTTTAAAATATGAATTAAATATTGAATTTAAAGTTGATGCCTGGATGAATTAAGAACAATGAGACTGTTAGAATGGAATAAATAGACTGTGAATGTATAACTGGCATGAATTTCTGAGAGAAATATATACAGAATATTATGAACTGAGTTGTGTTTCCCCAATTCATATTATAAATCCTTTACCTTTAGGGAGATGATATTTGAACATGTCTTTGGAAGGCAATTATTTCTAGTTGAGGTTATAAGGAAGGATACCTCATGATGTGATTCCTACCTTTATGGGAAGAGAGATCAGAGAGTTCATTGACCAAGGTACTTTAGTGTTTCATGAAGGTTTTCTTCTAGTTGTTTCATAGCTTTGGGTCATCTGTTAAATTATTTGATCTATATTGATTTGATTTCTGTATATGGTAAGAAATAGCAGTCCACTTTCATTCTTCTGCAAATGCATTTGCAGCATTTCCAGAATCATTTATTGATGAGAGTGCCCCTTTATCAATGTATGTTCTTGGAACTTTGCCGAAAATAAGTTAGTTTTTAATGTCTGCATTAATTTCTGGATTTTCTGTTATATTCCAATTGTGTGTGTGTGTGTGTGTGTGTGTGTGTGTGTGTGTGTGTTTGGTTTGTTGTTGTTGTTGTTGTTGTTTTGCGACTACCATACTGCTTTGGTTATTGTATATTTGTACCAGAATTTGAGGTTATATAGTATAAAACCATTTTGTTGTATTTGGTCAGGATGGCTTTGACTATTCCGGATCTTTTGTGTCTCCCTGTAAATTTTAGGGTTGCTTCTTCTATTTTTGTGAAGGAGGCCATTATTATTCTGATAGAAAATTTACCTAATTTGTAAATAACACTGGGCAGTATGGACACTGTTAATTCTTCCAAGCCATGAACATGAAACATTTCAAACATATTTTCAATTTGTGTGTGTTCACATTATTTTTTATTATCAATCATTTCTGGTTTTTAGAAATCTTTCACTTGTTTGGTAATGTTCATTCCTAGGTATATTTTTTAGCTATTATAAAATAAATGCCTTGTTAATTTTTTGCTCTTGGCATTTAGCAATATCACCAATTTTTGTGTGTAGATGTTGTAATCTGCAACTTTACAGAATTTTTTATCAATTATAAGAGTTTTTAAAGGAGTCTTTAGGTTTTCAAATATATAATATTGTATTGTCTGCAAACAGACAGCTTGATTTCCTCTATTCCAAATTTCAGGCCATTTATTTGTTTTAATCTTGTGTAATTGCATTGGCTAGAATTACAGTACTATGTAGCAGTGCTGGTGAAGAATATTTTTTCTTGTTCCATCCACATCTTAGAGGAAAGGGTTTCAGTTTTTCAAGTTTGGTACAATGCAAGCTGTGCGTTTTGCATACCTATACTTTATTAATTTGAGATATGTTTCTTATAAGCAAGTTTGTTGAGAATTTCTGTAAGGAATTGAGGTTGAATATTTTTGATGAGTTGACTTTCTAGAACCTCTTTATCATAAAATAATACAATAATAAGCAGGTCAATACAAGATTCATAAATTAGTGGAATTTGATTATATGCACTGCTGCCATAGAGTAGGATCATTGTACAGCTCATAGTGTTGAAGGAGAACTATAATTCTGCCATATTAATGGCTGGTGATTTACACTGGGCTCTACTGAGAGATTTGCTTGTCAACTGCAGAAAACAAGACTAAGCAGCACTGAGAAACATTATTCAATTAACTGAATTTCACTTCATATCATCTCAACTTCTAATATCAATTTTTGGTACTAGCTCCGTCCTATTTTCGGTTTCCTGGCTCACAGGTTATAGTACATATCTTACCTAATTCATGGTGGTTTTACTCTAAAAAAATTAATTTCCTATTATGGATGGCAAGTGTAAATTCATACACTTTGGCCAAATCTTGATAATTTCCCATACTCTGAGACACTTACAGCCAAAGGCAAGAGAAAGGCAGCTATAGATGAGTTTCTCTGAGGACAATTATGTAAAAACCTGAAGACTGTTGGCAGTGTCCTTGAACGTCACTTTATTCCCTTCCATGAGCTACATCCAGGGCATTCTCTAAATCTGAAAAGGTTGCACATGTTTAATTATTTCATCTCACCACCCCTTAGTCTTGTTATCTTGGTTTGACAACCAAATCTCTCAACAACAGAGGCCAGTGTGACTCAACAGATTTCAATTATTGCAGAATGATGGTTTCCCAACAACACTATGAATTACAGAATGATATTACTTTACGGAAGCAGTGGAAATGACTAACTACCACTAATTTATGAATCTCGGAGGCTACCATGGAGGTGTGTATGTATCAGTGCATTGCTCTAGAAATGTTCAGTTTCTGTACATTATTTGATGCAGTAATGGGGACAATGTGAACTGAAGGGAGTCTCCATGGCCTTATGAGCACAGAGCCCACATCCAGTGCAGGTGCAGAGCAAGTCTGGAGCGGTCAGACAGCTGCTCCCTCTAGAGTCTTCCAGTTCCTTGTCCAAAGCATCTGCTTATTCATGGGCTGAGAAAAGGGAAGTCAAACATGCAGTTTACTCTCTCTACAGGGCTGACAGGGCACAAGGAAAATATCAACAATCAGGGAACATTCCTATAGGAATGCAGCTGTGTGCAGACACACTGATAAGCACACACTGCTTTACACAATACATTTAAATTTTTTTAAATTTATTTTCTCTGATTAAAAAAATCACTTTTTCCCCTAATCAAAGAGGATTTTGATCAGAATGCTTGTGGAGAGCCCCTGTTCTCCCAGATACCTACCTCATTTCTCTTGAAAGGGAGGAAAATTTTGATTTCTACTCCAATTCTCTAGGACTAAAACTGGAAGGTTGCATGCCCCCTGGGTGAGCCTTAGAGAAGACCCTGTCTATAGAAGCAGGAGCCTCACAGCCTTCAATGATAGTAATGGTCCTGAAATTAGACAGTGGCCCCCATGGATAGCACACGTGGACGCCCACACCTGAGGGCTCACTGCTCCTCACCACATATGCCCTCCCCCACTGAGTCCTGAGACCTGGCTGCACCCCATAGAGTAAGGCTCAGATAAGGGGATGCAAATCTCCACCAGCCACACCCTCCTCTGGGTTGAAAAGCCGAGCACAGGGCCTGGCTCAGTGACTCCTGTACCCCAACATGGACACGCTTTGCTCCACGCTCCTGCTGCTGACCTTCCCTTCCTGTGAGTGCTGTGGTCAGGGACTCCTTCGTGGGTGAAACACCTGTTCTTTTCTTTGTGAGCTTAATCTTCTTATGCTTTCTCCACAGGGGTCTTGTCCCAGGTCACCTTGAAGGAATCTGGTCCTGCTCAGGTGAAACCCACACAGACCCTCACGCTGACCTGCACCTTCTCTAGGTTCTCACTCAGCACTTCTGGAATGGGTGTGGGCTGGATCCGTCAGCCCCCAGGGAAGGCCCTGGAGTGGCTTGCAATCATTTATTGGGATGATGATAAATACTACAGCTCATCTCTGAAGAGCAGGCTCACCATCTCTAAGGACACCTCCAAGAACCAAGTGGTTCTAACAATGACCAACATGGACCCTGTGGACACAGCCACATATTACTGTGCACGGAGACCACAGAGCCACAGCCCAGGGCGCCTCCTGTACAAGAACTCAAGCTGCTTCTCAGTGGTGCTTCCCCCACCCACCTCTGAGAACAGGAAAATGTGGCTGAAATGTCATTTCCAGCCAGGGCCTGTGTTTCTTGTCCCCACCAGACTCAGAGCCTTGTCTTCTTCCCTCTTCTTTACTAATAAATGGCATGTTCCCTGTTAGTGGTTCATGCAAGCAGAGGCTGTATCCTGTCTGATAAAGTTTTGGCATAAAAGATTTCTGTTACCTGAGCCAGATGCATCACTGATATGTGGCCAATGGTTTCTTAGGCTCAAACCACCTTAAGGGACCAACTACAAATGTCCGTAGCCTATGACATTCATAAACTGCAGAAATGATGTCAAATAAGAATGTGGAGATAAGAGAGCAGGAGGAATTATGAAAATACAGGTAGCATCTTTTCTTGTAGAGTGGATGTTCCTTAGTAAAGTAATTGTGTGGAACAACAAGACAGATGGAATGTGTCCTTATCATGGATTGTCTCACAATGGCAGTGCAAAAATAAATTTTTAAAAATTTCATAGGGTAGGTGTGATGGATGAGGCTTATTTCCACAAAGGGAGCCCATAAATACCCAGATAAGTAAAAAGAAATCCAACACTTGGAAAGAAAAATGCCTCAACTTGCAATCAAACACCCACCTCAGTAAGTCTGAGGAGCCATGCGGAAAAGAAATGGAAAGTTCAACAACACATTTCTTATGAACTTTCTAGCTCATGTCTGAACATAAAAACAATGACAACAAAAGTCAAAATAGACAAATGGGATCTAATTAAACTTAAGAGCTTCTGCACAGCAAAAGAAACAAGCATTAGAGTGAAAGAGCAACTAATAGAATGGGAAAAAATTTTTACAAGCTACCCGTCTGACAAAGTGCTAATATCCAGAATCTACAAAGAACTGAAACAAATTTACAAGAAAAAACCAACCCCATCAAAAACTGGGCAAAGGAGATGAACAGACACTTTTCAAAAGAATACATTTATGCAGCCAACAAACATATGAAAAAATGTTCAGCATCACTGGTCATTAGAGATACTTGTCTTTACCACTTTTTTTTTTTTTTTTTTTTTGCAGTGGCTGGTACTGGTTTTTCCTTTCTGTGTTTAGTGCTTCCTTCAGGAGCTCTTGCAGGGCAGGTCTGGTAGTGACAAAATCTCTCAACAATTGCTTGTCCATAAAGGATTTCATTTCTCCTTCACTTAGGAAGCTTAGTTTGGCTGGATATGAAATTCTAGGTTGAAAGTTATTTTCTTTAAGGATGTTGAATATTGGCCTCCACTATCTTCTGGCTTGTATGTAGGGTTACTGCCAAGAGATCCATTGTGAGTCTGATGTGCTTCCCTTTATGGGTGACTTCACCTTTCTCTCTGGCTTCCCTTAGCATTTTTTCCTTCATTTCAACCCTGGTGAACCTGATGATTATACGCCTTGGGGTTGTTCTTCTAGAGGAGTATCATTGTGGTGTTCTCTGCATTTCCTATATTTGAATGTTGGCCTGCCTTGCTAGGTTGGGGAAGTTTTCCTGGATAATATCCTGAAGAGTGTTTTCCAGCTTGGATTCATTCTCCCTGTTATCTTCCAATACACCGATCAGGCGTAGATTAAGTCTTTTCCCGTAATCTCATAATTCTTGAAGGCTTTGTTCATTTCTTTTCACTCCTTGTTCTCTTTTCGTGCCTTCTCGTTTTATGCCATTGAGTTGATCTTCAATCTCTGACATCCTTTCTTCTGCTTGATCTATTCAGCTATTGAAACTTGTCTATGCTTCATGAAGTTCTTGTGCTGTGTTTTTCAGCTCCATCAAGTCGTTTATGTTCTTCTCTAAGCTGGTTATTCTAGTTAGCATTTCGTCTAACCTTTTTTCAAGGTTTTTAGTTTATTTGCATTGGGATAGAACATGTTCCTTTAACTCAGAGCAGTTTGTTATTACTCACCTTCTGAAGCCTGCTTCTGTCAATTTGTCAAATTCATTCTCTATGCTGCTTTGTTCCCTTGCAAGTGAGGAGTCGTGATCTTGTTGTGGGGGAAGAGACGTCCTGGTTTTTGATGGTTTCACGCCGGTTTCTCCCCATCTCTTGGATTTATAAGGTTTTGATCTCAGGCAGCTGCCTGGGAAGGTGGCCTTTCCTTTGTCTGCTTGCGGAGGCACTGCCACATCTTTTATTTACTCACGCTGGCTTCTGCAATGGCGGCCTCCATTATGCCGCTGAGCTGGAACGTTCCTGGTCACTCTCTGATTGACTTTCTGGGCACCTAACTCTGGAGTGAGAGTTTTTTGGCCACTGGGCTCTGTGCAGCAGGTGGTGGAGAGACCCCTCCTGCCGTTTGGGCTGTTTCCATGCCTTCATTCCCCTTCTTCCTGGGGCACAGGTAGCTCCGGCCCACGGCTTTTTGGCTTTCCCAGCCTCAGCCAACGTTTCTGCCCAGATCTCTGCTGACAGCCGGGCACTGGCCAAAGTCACTGTTCTGCCCTGTCCAGGCAACTCGTGGGCACCTCTCAGCCCAGCGAAGATCTGTTCTGTGCGTTGTAGCAGGCTTGGGTGGAGCACTGTATCCGAACCAAGTCCCAGAGGGGCAGATCCCACCGTCCTCAATTGGCTGCGCACTCCTCCTGGGTGGGCACTGTCCCACCCTGCGCAACTTGCCCTGTTCAGTTTATACCCACTGTCCAGCCAGACCCACAAAATGAACCTGGTGCCTCATTTGCAACTGTGGAGACCACTGGCTTCTGCATCTCTCTTGCTGGGAGCTGCTTTCAGAAGCTGCCTCTTATTCGGACACCTTGGGATCCACCCTTATACGCAAGTCTTTAATTGATTTTGTGCTGAATATGTGTATGTTGAGGGTGGAGATCTAGTTTTGTTCTTCTGCATATTGCTATCCAATTTCCCAAGTATTGAATATATTTTTACATTTATTATTTGTTGATTGTTATTTTTGTTAGTTTTTGTTAACTTTGTCAAAGGTCACTTGGCTATAGATTGTGTGGCTCAATTCTGGGTTCTGTACAACTTACACAAGAGCCTCGATTTGCCTGAGGCCTCAGTACTGACCTGCTCACAGTATGAACTCTGTTGACCAAGTGGTGTTTCTATGAAGTAGTGATTTGTTGTCATGCAATTGCTTTCCTAAAATTGTGGACAATTTTAGGAAAGTAGGGAATGTAGATATAGTTAAGGGATACGAGATGTGATCACAGGAACACGAGTATGAAATCCAGCAGTTCTTTCTCCTTCACATTTGCCCAGAAACAAAGACCCCAGTAGAACAATGGAACGGTTGGCTTAAGTCTGATGTGAGATATACACCAGGTAATTTATGCCACTGTTTCACAGTAGAAAAGAAGGTCCATTTTGGGGATAATACTATTCTCCAGGATGCATAAATGCCCCAAAACAATGAGCACCACAGTTCCCAGTGGCCAGGAGTTACAACACCTGTGTCTGGAAGCCAGTGGACAGAAATATCAGTTTCTCTTCCCACATGTATAATGGAAATTTGAAGAAAGTTTTTTTTTTCTTCTCCATAATCATAGGCTGCGATGGACCGGAGGTCCCGGTACACAAGGAGAAATGTGTCTGCAGTGGGTACAGAATTAGTCTCATAAAATAATTGTGTTATTGTGGTCCTCACACTGTTGGACCAGCTGACCAAGAAAGTGTTGTGAGAGCTGCAGTGTTGATTGCTTCCTATTATATTTGATGCTACATTCGTAGCTACCAAGGGAAAGAGAGATAAGTAAATCTGGCCTAGGTAGAGTCCATAAATTTATTTTATTTCCTTCAAAATGAGGTAAAATCTTCACATCAACTAAAATGCAGATGATGATCAAGTGATCGAGGACAATCAAGCACACCATCAACGCTTTGGTTAGAAATCCCCTCAGCTAAATTTTAAGTGTCATTCACTAATTCTAATTTTATCAAGTATAACCTAATTACGATAAATTCTATAACAAGGTGCATATATTCTCCAGGATCCAATACCATGTTTGTGACAGAAACAAAGCAGGTGTGTTCTCTGCATTGTGGTCATCTGATGCCTGAGATGAGGGGGTCACACAGGTATTGTTCTGGTTTCTAAGGGTGGAGACAGCAATATTGATAAAAACAGTGAACAGCACCGGCCCCTACCTAAAAGGTTACAGGTAAGTTACTGCTGCAATTTTATATTAATACCTCTTTAGAATAAAGCTCAGAGGAAGAGGCCACATCCTAGGTCACACAGTGGCATCTAGAGGGCAGTTCTCAGCGGATGATCTTAGGGCACCTGCTCCCTGGGGCACGGTGCTTCCTTCTCTCAATCGTGCACTTGCTCCTTCTGCAAGCTATGGAGTGAGCACTTGTGTTGCCATGAATTATGTATGTTCTCTCCCCTAATACGAAAAACACATATTTATTTAATTTTCAATTTTATTGCCTCTGAAGCACATTGGGTGAGAAGAAAGAAACAAATAACATTCCTCATCCTCCAAAATAGCCAGATTCCTGAAGACAGAACTGATGTGATTTACTCATAGGTGGATCTTTGTCCCTCAGAGGTGACCTTGGTCTTCAATTTTTAGCAATTCTGAGAAGCCAAGAACACCTCCATCTCCTCTTCCCTTCTCTGCAACACACCTGAGAACAGCTTTCTCATAGGAATGTCTTGTGTTTAACAAATAAGAGTCCCTGTTTCAGGTTTGAGTGCCCGGGTGCACCTACTGGATCCAGCCCAGGAATGGAGATACTTTCCAGAACACAACATCGCCTGAGACATGACCACTCACACTGTTTTACTTTCACAATTTCAGCTTCCTGAAAAGAAAACTGAAATTGCTGAGACTTTTTTATAAGTGTTGTGCCATATCGTTTCTCGGTTGTCTTGCCTGTTTACGTCAGATGTGCCACATATACGTAATAAGATCAGTTGTCTGCCTCTAGTAACACATCAAAGGTGAACCTTGATTTTACTTTTGGTTTATGTTCCAACATGTAGATTATAAAATTCATCACCCTCATTTTGATGTCAAAGAAATCTGCATGATCTGAATGTCAATACTTTTTGGAATCTATTAAATAACTGAAATTGCAAGAAAAATTATCCACTCCAAAACCTGGAGAGATGGGCATGTCCAGAATGGCAGCTGACACTTGCTTAAATGGAATAGAAGCTGCAAAAGCCACACGCTGTTGAGGGCACTTAAATGGTAAGCATTACAGGCGTCTGAAAGACAGATGTGGACTCGGTAAATGTGACAGTTCCAGAGAGGCTTATACGTCTAAGTTTTCTGGACTTTATCTTCAGAAACATCCAGATTTTTAAAAGTACAATCCAAATACATTACCTATGGGTCAGAATGGGAGATGACTGATTAATGAGAAATATACTAGGAGCCTTCTTCAAAATCTTCTACAGGGGAGGAATTTTCCAGAACCTTATCCTTTGTGAAGGAAGGCAAATCTCCCATTCGAGATTTCTCTCCCATTCTTCCATTATTATACAAATGAGTAAAGTTAGCCAATAGGGGTTAAGATGTAAGTAAACAGTCCAGGAACACTGAAATTGCAAAAGGGAGTAATGGCCAAAAATTAGCTTTTCCCTTGGAGACACCTGGACAAGATCACAGTCCAGAAGTGGAAGAAGATCGAGTCTCTAGGTTTCCATTGTCAGAACAAGCCATGCTGACCTGCACTGCACAATCCATTCTAACCAGGATGATGGCTCTGGATTAAAGATGAAAGTGTGGAAATGCACAGACTGTATCTGTGCAGAACACAGGAAAACTAAAAAACAATGGCAGAGAATAAGGCAAGGACAGTAGGGCAATCTGAAGCCTCTGACACCACTATTTTTAAAACCAAGGTCTTGTAAATGCCATCAGATCTCAGCTTCTTTTATCGTGGAGCCTTTGCTTGGTTCCTAGCTGAGAAAATGAAAATAACCTCCTCCATGCACTTCCCAAGTCTCCACTTGTATCCTGTTTGCTAGAAGAAGAAAGTCAGATACCTGAGCCGTGTTGTTGTAGGAGGCACTTTCTACAGGCTAGGCACTAGGTGGAAGGAAAAATGTGTGTTATTGAAATAGTGTATATGGAGTGGGCTTTCATCTGAAAGTATCTGCACCTGCTGGTAATCTCAGATGCAACATTCAACTGCAAGAAGCAAGGCACTCTCAAAGGCCCTGTAAGTTTTTCTATTCATTGTGTGTCCACTGATTCAGTGCATTTGGAGTTTCACTGAAGGGGCTCCCTCCTGTGTCATACAGTCCTTGCTTTGTCTCCCTGCAGAGTTCAATAGGCTTAGTAAGGCTAATCAGTTGTCTCAAGAGATAGTGTCAGCAGCATATGGTGTCACAAAAAGAGTGTTCTAAATTAGGACACAGCCACTTCATGCTGGACTCAAGAATCTTGGGGGAAATGTGAACCTGGAGAGCCTGGACAGAAACGTCTTTGCAAGGCAAGGGCTGGGCTGCAGGGGGCACTCAGGAGCCACCCAGCACAAGTTCCAGCACTGGAGCAGGTGCACAGGAGGCTGGGGAGGTTTCCTCTCAGGAGCTGTGTCTTCCTTTGTCAACAGCAAAAACAAAAAAAAAACTAAGTGTTGAACAAGTTACCGATGCGCATTTAAATATCCTGTTACACTGGAACCATTGATATAACTTAAGGCAACAAGAACTATTCTTTAATGTGGGTTTCTGGGACTATAAATATTTTCATAGTGAGGCTATAAAGGATAGGAATGGTTTTACTAATTGAATGGATACAGAATTGTGGGAGTCATTGTATTCCTATGAATAAAAACTTAAGATTTCAGTGTTACTTAATGTTGCCTTCATTGTGTAAGTGACAGGGCAGTGATGGATATGAGAGTGTGACAGGTGCACAGACCTAGTGAGTCAGAAATCAATATGTAATGTTGAGGAGATCTATGGACATGAACTGAAGGTATGTAAACACTTCATGAAGTTCTATTAAATGGAGTAGAAAATAAAACCCAAACTTATTCAAAACACAAATTTCTTGATAATTATTTTGGGAGCAGTAAGTTCATAAAGAACTCAAAACTTCTCTTACATCTTCTGATTCCTATTGTCCATAAAATGAGAAAATCAGCTCTAATTATGCATCAAAGGGCAAATGTGTAAACCAAGAGTGTTTCTATTCAAGATCCTGGGGGATCAGGACCCAAGGGAGGTGTCAGAACACTGCCTCAAGAGCGCCCAGCAGATTGCAGAAGGACCTACTGGTCGCTTATGTAAGACATCAGCAGTCACTTTCTCAGGGTCACCAGTGAGCTGTGCTGGTGACTGATGGGTCCATGATAGGGCTAACGCACCTGTTCAGTGTCATGGAGAGTGATGGGTCCATAAATCATCCAGATGGTCTCTGCGCTAATCAAACATGGGTCCACAGTGAGGATCATGTCCTCCGGGTGCTTGCTTGTCAGTGAAAGGATGTCTGGACACAAAAACTTTGTGAATAGAGCCGGGTATGTATTTCCTCAAGGAGGATTAGAGCTTGGACCATCAGCAACCCACTATTGTAAGGCTGATGTGTCATTTATCTGTTCTTTCTTATCTTGGATCAGGTCTTGAGCTATGAAATGCTCTATCTCATGAATATACAAATAACCTGAAATCCACTGAGGTAAATATGGATGTCTGTGTCCTGAGAGCATCATCCAACAACCACACCCCTCCTCTAGAGAAGCCCCTGACAGCTCAGCTCCTCATCATGGACTGGACATAGAGGATGTTCTTCTTGGTGGCAGCAGCTACAGGTAAGGAACTCCCAAGTCCCAGTGATGAGGGGACTGAGTTCAGTCAAGAGGGCTTTTTTCCACTCTTGGTCCTCCCCACAGGTGGCCATTCCCAGGTGCAGTTGGTGCAGTCTGCAGCTGAGGTGAAGAAGCCTGGAGCCTCGGTGAAGGTCTCCTGAAAGGCTTCTGGATATACCTTCACAGACTACTACATGCACTGGTGTGACAGACCCCTGGACAGGGGCTTCAGTGGGTGGGACATATTTATCCTGAAGATGGTAAAACAAGCTACACACAGAAATTCCAGGGCAGAGTCACCATTACCATGGACACATCCACAAGCACAGCCTACATGGAGCTGAGCAGCCTGAGATCTGAGGACATGGCTGTGTATTACTGTTCGAGAGACACAGTGTGAAAATCCACATCCTGAGAGTGTCAGAAACCCCAGGGAGTAGGCAGCTGCACTGAATTTGAGGAGATTACAGGGCTTAAAATGTTTAAAGTTGCTTAGAAAATGGACTAAGCAATTGCAGAATATGAGTAATAGAAACATGTATGTATTCTATATAAGAAACATTTCTTTCAAAAGAAAATTGCACAAAATTCACAGAGTGGTAAAGGAAGCAATCAATCAGGGTGATCCCATGTAGGCAGACATAATTTTTTAAATCAGATAGGTAAATAATATGGTGCAAGATTGCTTGGTAACATGGCTAAAACTAAATATGATTCCTAAAAACTGGCCAAAATGAATTCTCAAATGTCTCTGCCACTTGTTACATAAAGTGTATGAAAAAGTAGTTTTAAGACCACAGCAAAATTGAAGAGAAGGTGCAGAGATTTCCCGTGTGTCCTTTCTTCACACATGCACAGCCTTCCCCACTATCACCATCCTGCCCCAGAGTCATAAATAAGTTAAAATTAAAGCACTTACATGGACAGATTGGTTCTTTTTCTCTGTCGATCCCTCGGCATACCAAGCCTAAATTATCTAGAAGCACCACAGGTTCTTAAAGTGGGTTCCTGGGGATGATGCCAGTTTGAGAAAAAGTGAGTGGGGCTATTCTCCTTTGGACCCCTTTTAGAAGACTCATAAAATGTATATTTTCTCACAGTTACTGTGACCCCTGACTTACTATGTCCCTTCCCTGAGGGTAAGTTCTCTACATTTTTAGAGGTAGATCCATATCTATGGAAAGAAAGCAAGTTCTGGTGAATCTCATAAGGAATGTCCTTTAATGAGAAGTGGGGACTTTGGTCATGAGGCACATCATGTATGATTTTCTACAGTTCCATTAGAGTCAGTGTAAAGTTTTGGGGGTGTTTCTAGATGAGGCCTGTTGTACAGAAAATGAAAACTCATGAATGAGATCCAGGCAGAAGCAATAGCTTCCATTTACAAAGTGGGAGGGAAACAGAAGAACACTCTCGTGGGTGGGCACTGGTTCCCCTTGCTGGTAGCACATTAGCCAGAAACATGTGCCTGATAGGTCACGGAGGGTGAGAGCCCCACTGCGGTTACTGGCTATGAAAATGTCTTGTTCTCCAGGTGAGAAAGTCCATCTACTTGCTTGTTGGGTCAACCCCATGGCGGTTGCACTCTGTAAGATGATGAGATGCACACAAACCTTCTATTAATCTTCAATTACTGCACACTCAAAAATAAACTGCATTCCAGAAAGGGGCAGGTGTCTGCAGTGATAAACAGAACTTGACTATCTTTTTTAAAATAGGAAAGACCCTGCCAAATGTCGTATGTCTCAGGAAGGTTAACTCAGAAATGTTGACCAAGTGACTGAAGGGCAGTGGTACATGAGGTAATGTAGCAGCCTTGGGGGCTGCACACGAGGCAGGCTCACTTCCCCATGCAGGCTTTTCTTCCAGGAACTGCACCAGAAACTCAAAGAGGATTGGGGAGAATTCTGAAAACATTATTCTGTGGTACTGCCTAGAGAGGAAAAATAAACTATAAAAACAAAAACCTAGATAAAGTATTACATTAGTTAACAGAAACTATTTCTGAAACTTGTGGGTGTCATGACACAAGCCATCATCAGCTGTGAACAAACATTTTAATCCTCTTTTCCTGGGGAGTTCAGTTAGGTTGCATCTGTTTTTTTAACGACAATATCCACCAATCCCTCTCTATTTCCTGCACATCCTCTGCTCTCTATGGAACAAGTTATCATTAGTGAAATGTGGTTGATATACTGAAGTCGTCAGTTTTCCCACTGTATTAGGATTCTCTAGAGGAACAGAACTAATAGGATAGATGTATATTTTTGAAGGCAAGTTTATTAAGGAGTATTGACTCAAATGATCGAAGGCTGAAGTCCCACAACAGGCTATCTGCAACTGAGGAACAAGGAGTCCCAGTTCGAGTCCCAAAACCTCAAAAGTACAGAAACCAACAGTACAGCACTGCTATTGTTAGAGAACACACAGGAGTTCATTCCTATTTTTATGCTCCCTGTCCAAACAAAATGTGTAGGAAAATAGACATGGTAGGTCTGATAAAGGGTTTGTCATGTGTTAAATTGAGTCTCCAAATGAGATGCCAAAGTCCTTACCAGAAGCACCTTAGAATATGTCCGTATTTGGAAATAATGTAGCTGGAGATGTTATTAGTGAAGAAGAGATCACAGTCAAGTAGGCAAGGCCCTCAAGCTAGGAACACTGCTGCTATCCCCATTAAGCTACCATTGACTTTCTTCACAGAATTGGAAAAAACCACCCTAAATTTCATATGGAACCAAAAAAGAGCTGCATAGCTAAGACAATCTTAAACCAAAGAAAAACAAAACCGGAGGCATCACACTAACTGACTTCAAACTATACTACAAGGCTACAGTAATCAAAACAGAATGGTTCTGGTACCAAAACAGAGATATAGACCAATGGAACAGAACACAGCCACAGAAATATCACCATACATCTACAACCATCTGATCTTTGAGAAACCTGCAAAAAAAAACAAGCAATGGGGAAAGAATACCCAATTCAATAAATGGTGTTGGGGAAACTGGCTAGCCACATGCAGAAAAATGAAAATGAATCCCTTCTTTACAACTTATGCAAAAATTAACTCCAGATGGATTAAAGATTTAAACATATGACCTAACGGCATAAAAAGCCTAGAAGAATACCTAGGCTATACCCCTCAGGATATAGGCATGGACAAAGACTTCATGATTAAAACACCAAAAGCCATGGCAACAAAAGCCAAAATAGACAAATTGAATCTAATTAAACTTAAGAGCTTCTGCACAGCAACAGAATCTATCATTAGAGTGAACTGGCAACCAATAGAATGGGAAATTCTTTTGTAATATAACCATCTGACAAAGGCCTAATATAGAATCTACAAAGAACTTAAACAAATTTACAAGAAAAAAAAAAACAACTCCATCAAATAGTGGGCAAAGATTATGGACGGAGACTAGTAAAAAGAAGACATTTATGCAGCCAACAAACATATGAAGAAAAGCTCATCTTCACGGGTCATCAGAGAAATCAAAATCAAAATCACATTGAGATACCATCTCACAACAGTTAGAATGGCAATCATTAAAAAATCAGGAGACAACAGATGCGTGAGAGGATGTGGAGAAATAAGAACGCTTTTACACTGTTGGAGTTTAAATTAGTTCAACCATTGTGGAAGACAGTGTGGCACTTCCTCAGGGATCTGGAACTAGCGGTACCATTTGACCTAGCAATCTCATTACTGGGCATATACTCAAAGGATATTTAATAGGATGATATAAATCATCCTATTATAAAGACACATGCACACCTATGTTTATTGTGGCACTGTTTGCAATAGTAAAGACCCAGAACCAATCCAAATGTCCATCTACGATAGACTGGATAAAGAAAATGTGGCACATATACACCATGGAATACTATGCAGCCATAAAAAGGAAGAGTTAATGTCATTTGCAGGGACATGGATAAAGCTGGAAACCATCACTCTCAGCAAACTGATGCAAGAACAGAAAACCAAACACCACGTTTTCACTCATAAGTGGGTGTTGAATAATGAGAACACATGGACAGAGCGAGGAGAATATCACACACCAGGGCCTGTTGGGAGGATGGGGGCTAGAAGAGGGATAGCAGAGGGTGGGGGATAGTGGAGTGGTAGCATTGGGAGAAATACTCAATGTAGATGACAGAGTGAAGGATGCAACAAGCCACCATGGCAGGTATATACCTATGTAATAAACCTGCCCATTTTGCATATGTACCCCAGAACTTAAAGTATAATTTAAAAAAAGAACAAGAAAATTTGGACACAGACACAGAGATATACAATGTGCCATATGACAGCAGAGGTAAAGATTAGAGTGGTGCAGCAGCAAGCCAAGGCATGTCAGGGATTACCAGTCACCCCCACAAGTGAGAAAGGGGCAGACAAGCATTCTCCTAAGTCTCAGAGGGAGTGCAGCACAGCTTACACTCGATTTTGAACTTCCAGTCTCCAGAAATGTAAGCAAACACATTCTGGTCATTTTTTAGCCACCCAGTTCATAATATTTGATTTTGGCAGCCCTGGGAAATTTCATACAGAGTTCTTCACACAAAAGGAAGCACTCTAACAAACAGCCATGGTCCTGGATGACGGACAGCCTGAAGATTGCAAACCTCCAAGAAATCAAAGAAGGTTATATCAACTATGGGCAGCCCCATCTTCTAAAGGCGGCTCCTCATGTCCATACCCATACTTTGGAAGGGGAATCCTGCTCTTGGACATGGGATCTTTGGGTAGACAACTGCCAGAAATCCAACATGGTGATGAATTTAAGGTCTCTGACATTTTCATCTTCATCAAGGGGGATTCCATCAAGTAGTAAGTCAAACTTTTCATCAGTAATCTCCACATCAAATAGTTTTTCATGGCTTGGAACACCTCAGCTTACAGTCATGGCAGAAGACAAAGTGTAAGCAAGGCAGTCTTACAAGGTGGCAGAAGAGAGAAGTTAAACATTTTTTTCTCTCTCTTATAAAGATATAATCTTGAGGCAAACAGCAGAATCAACTTTCTTAAGCCATAAAAGACTCCATCTCTCTCCCTTTCACCATAAATATTTCCTTCACATTTATCTAATTGTATGTTTGTATCGATTTATGTGCCCTTTTGGGAGTTCCAGAAGTTAATTTTGAGACAAAGTCTGGATACCCAGCTGCAGAATTCCAGGTGACTTCAAAGTCGCTAGTTAATAACCCAAGACTTGCTGAGATGATGCCAGCCTAAGACCCAGGTGTATGGGGACGCCAGAGAGCAAACAGAGTAAGACACACAGACCTTGTACTCAGCCCAATTTCTGAATGCCTTTCTTATCAACTTTTTCTTTTTTAAACCCCTGCCTTTTCCTCAAAAGTGGAGTGGTCGCTTTGGATGGGAATCCAGTCACTTCCCCCTCACCTGTTATGGTTAATACACTCATCTTTGTACCAGATCTTACCCTTCTTAATTGGATTCTGCAAGTGACGGGCATCCGGAGCTGAGTGAGGTTAGAAACTGAATGACATATTGGGGGTTCATAGACACGGCGTTCTGTGAAGTTGATGCGTGGATTCCTGAGGAAGCCTGCAAGCCTGTTAGTGATGAGCAGAGCTGCATCCAGCTATCAGGATCTGCACTCCGGCTGCTGTGAGCCTCTCACCATCTTCCCTGGTCCCAGCTGCCCCGGATGGTTCCACCTTGACAACGTGCTCCGTGTTCTGGGTGGTGGGAGAACAAGGGGGCTCCTTCGGCAGCTCCTACAGGGCTGTGAATCCAGGGCCCACTCGGTGTTCCCTGTGGAGTCTCTGAGGGAACGAGGGGCCTCTCAGGGCTCAGAGCTGTGCGCCTGTGCGGAGTGGGGGCTGAATACAGGGACACTGGGCGCGTGATGAGAAGCGGAGAGAGGTCAGCTCCCGGGACCGTCCGCCCTGAGCCTCAGGTGAGCCGGGGGCCCCTGGACAGACACGGCTTCTGTGGCCGCCACCAAAGAGCCTTGGCCTCAAAGCAACAGGAACCTCTCTGTCCACTTCGGACACTGATGGGAATAGCGGCCTCTCCCAGGCTGGATCCCGCTGGTGTCCGGATATGTTGGGTCTCCAGGCCCAACCCTGCACAACCTAAAGGAAGTCCCTGCCAAGCTACCCGGAAACAGAGCTTTAGAGTGGGCAGGGAAGCGCGGGGGCAGCTGCGACAGAGACGCGCGGTGGCCGGGACGTGGGCGGTTTGGAGACGCGCGGGGGCGGATGGGACGTAGGCAGTTCAGAGACGCGCGGGGGCCGATGGGACGTGGGCGGTCAGGGGAAGCGCAGGGGCTGATGGGACGTGGGCGGTCAGGGGAAGAGCAGGGGCCGGCGGGACGTGGGCAGTCCAGAGACGCGCAGGGGCTGATGGGACCTGGGCGGTCAGGGGAAGCGCGAGGGGCCAATGGGACCCGGATAGTCGGGGGTGCTGGGGTCTCTGGAAAGCGGGATCTGGGACGCTGCTCCGCCTCCTCTGCAGGCCATGCAGCCCGGAAGCTCCGGATCCTGTTGCTTGCTGGTTCACTCAACTGGTAGTTTCTTTTGCTGTGCAGAAGCTCTTAAGTTTGACTAGATACCACTTGTATATTCTGGCTTATGTTGCCATTGCTTTCGGTGTTTTAGTCATGAAGTCCTTGCCCATGCCAATGTCCTGGATGGTATTGCCTAGGTTTTCTTCCAGAGTTTTTATGGTGTTAGACCTCTTGTTTAAATCTTTAATCCACCTAGATTCATCCCTTAGGAATATCCATGATTCATTGGCTCAGTTGTTTCACATTATCCAATACTTCCCAATAATTCTGTTCATTTTTAAATTTTTATGTGACTGAGTTAATTGGAAATATCTGTCTCTTACATTTTACATTCTTTCTTCTTTTTAGTATAGTCCATTGGTAAAGCTTTAAACCGTATTTTGTAATTAATTCAATGAAGTCTTTATTACCTGAAGATCATTTTTAAAAAATCAAGGGCTTACGTAAATCTCGAGTTTTTCTAATTTGTTTGTGTTGGTTCTCAACCTTCTTTTGACTTTGATTGAGCTTGTTAAAATCAACATTTCGAATCATTTATCTGACATTTCAAATATATCTTGTGGTTTAGATTCTATTGCTAGAGAGTTAAGCTTATGTCCGGGGTCTTGTAACTCTGTTTTTTCATACTTCAATAATTGCTTATCTGTTTGATTTTCATTGGCTAAACTATCTTTTCTTATTATTTTTGAATTCATTTTGATTTTAATGAAAATCATATTCCCTTTAGAATGCAAATATAATTTATATTGTGTGGGTCTTCTGAGTTGGTACTTAGCTTACTCAATGGCAAAGACAGAGTTTCTTGTCTATAGATAGCCATTAGTTAGTGGCTTTCTGAAATTATGGTTGTAGTAACAATGTACTGGGCCTGGGAGCAGGCTCACTGCCTCCTACACATCCTAGATAGTTGAGGCCTCAGGAACCATTTCTAATTTGGAATGCATTCGTTTCAGCAGATTTTGTATTGGATTGTAAGTACCCCCTTCACGTTAGTAGGTAGTCCTTACAGATTTGAGCTGACTGTGGCAGAAGCAGATACGTATATGCTTGATATCTGTAGACAGGGAGAAGCTCTTCGTTGCCTCAGGAATGTTCTGTGAAATTTACAATGACCTAAATTCTCTGCTCAGCCCCTGAGATGGGGAAAAAGGAAAGCTGAATATAGATGAACCACTGAGCCTGGCATGATTTCTTTTGTTAGTAATAACTTTAGTGTGGTGTTTTGTTTTCAAATTTCAGTTGCGGTAGTAGCATACTGGGTGTGTGAGTTGCCCCGTGGACTTTTGTGCAGCTGGAATCACAGAAGGGTTGAAAAGCCAGTATCATTTTCATGTGCTGTGCACGGTGGTGGTGACTTTGTATTAGGTCCTGCAGTTTCAACATCAGGCCAGTAGGTGGTGCTTGCAGGTAAGAGCCGCCTACGGTGGCAGCGGAGGGGTTTATGCTTTACTGGTGGTTAAAGAGGGAAATTCGTCATGTTCTGGATCTCAGAGAAAAGACTTTCAGTTATTCTCATTCAATATGGCACTCCCTGAAAGACTTTCTGATATAACTTTTATTACGTTAAGATGTGTTCTTTCTATACCCATTTTTTAAAGACTTTCTTTCATGAAAGGATGTTGAGTTTCATCAAATGCTTTTTCGGCATCAATTGAAAAATATTATATGTGGAGTAAAGATCTAAATGTAAAACCTAAAACTGTAAAAAACTTTGCATAATAATCTAGGAAATACAATTTGGGATACAAGAACTGGCAAAGCCTATGATGAAAATGCTAGAAGCAATTTAACCAAAATCAAAATTAACAAATGCATGTAAATAAACTGAAGAGCTTCTGCATAGCAAAAGACACTATCAACAGAGTAAAGAGACAAGCTATAGAATGGGAAATAAAATATTTGAAACCTCTACATCTGACAAAGGTCTAATATTTAAAACATAGATGGAACTTAAACATACAAGGAAAAAAAAGTGGCCAAAGGACATAAAAAGACACTTTTTAAAAAGACCTACATGTGGCCAATAAGAAGTAAAATACTGAATATCACTGTCATTAGAGAAATACATATCAAGGCCACAGTGAGGTACCATCTCACATCAGTCAGAATGGCTAATCTTAAAAAATAAAATAACAGATGCTGCTAAGGTCGCAGGAAGAAAGAAAACATTTACACACTTCTGGTGAGAATATAAATTAGTTCAACCACTGTGGAAAGCAGTGTGGTGGTCCCTCAAATAACCTAAAACAGAACTTTAATTTGACCCAATAATTCCACAACTAGACACATACCTAAAGGAATATAAACATGTAGGTTCATTGCAGCATTATTCACAATAGCATAGACATGGAATTTACCTAAATTCTCATCACTGGCAGAACAGATAGAGAAAAATGTGGTGCATATAACCATGGACTACTATGCAGCTAAGAAAGAATTAAATTACGTCCCTTGAAAAAACATAATGAGACTGGACTTCATTACTCTTAGCACACTAATGCAGGAGCAGAAAAAAAAAGTATACTATATGTTCTCACTTATTTGTGGAAGATAAGTAATGAGAAATATTCTCTCAGACCCTGAGTCTTCCTTATTTGAAAAATCATTCTAAATTAACTGTTCAACAAGTTGCCAATATGCCTTTAAATATCCTATTCTATATGGACCACTTATATCACTGAATAAAGCAATAAGAACTATATTTTAAAGTGGGATTATAGGATAATAAATATCTTAATAGTAAGAATATGGAGGAAATGGATGGTTTTATTAATTCAATAGTTACATAACTGTGGGAGACACTGTATTCCAATGGGTAAGATATTCAGATTTCAGAGCCAGGTAAGTGTTCTTACATAGTGTGCGTGACTGGGCAGTGGTGGATTCCAGAGGGTGGCAGGTGCACAGACCAAGAGGATCAGAAATCAATATGTAAAGATGACCATCTATGGCTATGAATGAAAAGTATGTAAATACTTCAAATAATTCTATTTAATGGAGTTTGAAATAAAACCCAAACTTATTCAAAACACAAATTACTTGGTAATTATTTGGGGACCTATGGGTTTATCAAGAAATTCAATTTCCTGTTTATATTTCAATCCCTGGTTCCTGCTGTCAATGGGAGGGAAAATTCAGAACCCATCACACATTACAGGGCAAATCTGTAAACCAGAGTCTTTTCACTGAAGAGCCTGGGAGCTCAGGACTCTCGGGCAGGTGCTGGGGACCCTGTCTTGGGAGTGCCCAGCAGATCTCAGAACTGTCCATGGGCCCTGCTGGGCACTCACGTGGATAACCATTGGCCACTTTTCAGTGTTACCAGTGAGCTGTGACTGTTACTAATGGTACCAGGATGGAGTCAAGGTTCCTGCTCAATGCCAGAGACAGTGATGGTCCCAGATACAATCCAGGTAATCTCTATGCCAATAAAATGCAGGTTCACAGTGAGGAGCACATCCTGGGGTAGGGCTTGTTCTTCAGTGGGAAGAGTGCTGTCCACAGAAAGCTTAGACATGGAGCAGGGGATGCATTTCCTCGGGCAGGATTAGGGCTTGGTCTCTCAGCATCCCACTCTTGTATGGCTGAGGTGGCATCTGTGTTTTCCTTCTTGTCCTAGATCAGGCTTTAAGCTGAGAAATACCGTGCCTCATGAATACACAAACAACCTGAGGTCTTCTGAGATAAATATAGATGTGTTGGTTGCCTGCAAGCATCACCCAACAACCACATCCCTCCTCTGAAGAAGCCCCAGTGGGCAGAGCTCATCACCATGGACTGGACCTGGAGGATCCTCTTCTTGGTGGCAGCAGCTACAGGTAAGGCGCTTCCTAGTCCCAAAGGTGAGGAAGGGATCCTGATTTGGTCAAAGAGGATTTTATTCACTCCTGTCTCCACTCCACAGGTGCCCAGTCCCAGGTGCAGCTGGTGCAGTCTGGGGCTGAGGTGAAGAAGCCTGAGGCCTCGGTGAAGGTCTCCTGCAAGGCTTCTGGATACGCCTTCACCAGCTATGGTGTAGGCTGGGTGCGACAGGCCTCTGGACAAGGGCTCGAGTGGATGGGAGGAATCAACACCAACACTGGTGGCACAAGCTATGCACAGAAGTTCCAGGGCAGAGTCACCATGACCAGGGACACGTCCACGAGCACAGCCTACATGGAGCTGAGCAGCCTGAGATCTGAGGACATGGCCATTTATTACTGTGCGAAAGACACAGTGTGAAAACCACATTGTGAGAGTGTCAGAAACCCTGAGGGAGGAGGCAGCTGTGCTGAGCTGAGGCGATGACAGGGGTTATTAAGTTCAAGGCTGTTTACAAACTGGGTTATATATTTGAGAGAAAATAACAGTGGAAACAAGTGCACACTCTCATTTTAAGAGAAATATTCCATTCAAGAGTCATCATATAAGCCAAATTCACAGAGTGGGAAAGGCCACACTTAATACAGTTGATGCAGACATTCCATGAAGGTGCTGCTTTGAACATGTTTTTAAATTAGATGAATTAATTATCTGCAGCAAGCTTATCTGATCATGTGGTAAGACTAAATATGATTCTTAAAAAGTGGCTAAAATTTCTTTCAAATGTTTCTGTCACTCCTTATCATAAAATTTATTTTAGAGCAGTTTTAGGATTACAATGAAATCGCATGGAAGGTTTGAGAATTCCCATGAATCCCTGCCCTACACAGGCAGAGCCTTCTCCACTATGACCATCCTACACCAGTGTCACAAATAACTGACAATGGATGAATCTACAAGGACACTTGGCTCTTCTTCTGATGATCTCCTAATATAACAAGTCTAAATATCTCGGAGCACCACAGGTTTTTACAGTGGCTTTCTAGAAATGATATTAGTTAGAGGGAAAGTGGGTGAGGCTATTACATTTTGAACTTTGTCCTCCAAAATCTACAAAATACATACTAATTTAGAGCTTATCTTACTTCTGGTTTACAATGCCCCTTCCCAGGGAGTAGGATTTTTAAGCTTTTAGAGGCAGGTTCATGTCTCTGAAAGACCAGCACGTTCTGGTGAATCCCATAATGGACATCCTTGAGTGAGAATTGGAGACCCTGGCAATGAGAGACTCCATGTGTAATGCCCTAGAGGTGGATGAGATACACTGGACGCTCTCGGGTGGTGGTTCTGAATAAGGCGGTTCATGCAGCAAATACAAACGCATGCATGGGACCCAGGCAGGAACAGAAGCTTCCCTTTACAAAGTGGGTGGGCACCTGGAAGGAGCCCTCACAGGGGTGGCACTGGTCAACCTTGCTGACTGCACATTAGCCAGAGGCATGATCATGCTTGGTCTTACAGGGAAAGGGCAGCATTGAGGTCATAGGTTATGAAAATGTTTGTCGTCTTCCAGCTGAGCAAGTCCATCTGCTTCCTTGTGGGTGTCACCCCCATGGCAGGTGCACTCTGGGAGATGACAAGACGCACAAAAGCATCCTCCCACTAATTACCCAGTACCACACAATCAGAACCAACCTGTGCTCCAGAAAGGGATACTTGGATGCGGAAACAAAGAGAGCTTAAGGGTTTTGTCACCTGGTGAACATACTGCCCAAAACCATACTTTGCAGGAAGATTAGCTCAGAGATGTTTACAAAGTGACTGAATGGCAATGGTGGGTGAGGCGACCTGACAGCCTCAGGGCTGCACATGAGGAGGGCTTCCTTCCTATGCAGGCTTTTCCTCCAGGACCTGCACCAGGAGCTCAAGAAGGATCAGGGAGAATTCTGAGAACATCCTACTGTAGTGCTGCCTAAAGAGGAAGAATAACCTATGAAAAGTACAACTGAGTAAAGTTTGCACATTTGTTTATGAAAACTGTCTTTCCAAAAGCTTGAAAAGGTCTTGAAATACCCCCGATTAGCTGAGAACAAACATTTAAACCCTCCTTCCACAGGGAGTCCCAGCAGGTTAGGTGTGTCCTCTGATAGATGATCTTCCCCAGACCTTTCTTCCCAGCTCATATCTGCTCTCTGTGTAAAAAGTTCTCTTCCGTGGAATGTGGTTGATGATGTGAGGTCCTCAATTTTTTTCATCTTCTGCATGGCCATGCTATTTTCCTCATCTGAGGTTTAAGAGCTCACCTGCATGCAGCACGTGACAGCCTAAATCTCTTGTGGACAAAACAGTAACAAAGGCACCCACCAGGGTCCAGCATCCGATGTTGCCGACAGCGACCACCAGAGGTCAACGCCCTCTTCGCAATCCTGGGTCAGAGCATCATTAGTAACTTCCCAGGAGAATCAGCTTAGAAAGCATTTGTTCCATTTTCCAAGCGGATATAACCCACCTATTTTTTTGAAGAAATAGAAAGAGCTGAATGCTGAATACACTGAAGGTCTGCTGGTGTTGCAAGTTTATGATTTTATCACTATCTAATTTCTGATCTGTGCAGATCACTCTACAGATTTTTCTCACTGATGTGACCAGCCTTCTGAATGTCAAATATAATTGATCTTTCTCATATAAAAATCAACACAAGCTCCTCATGGATTCAGTGCTCACTGACTACTCTAAACTTACACAATGTGTTTCTTTCTTAGTTTCATTTTCTGGTCTCTGTACTTGGCATCTTCACCATGCCCATTTTATGTTTCTTTTTACAGGTAATTGATAGTTAATTTTAAAATTTACAGTTACTTATGTTAATGAAATAAACATTCAATAACTTAGAATAAAAAAAGTATGAAAAGTAAATGCAGTAATACTTAATGTAAGAAAGCCAGCAGATGAAAGCTGGGGAAATCTATTCTGCTGCATAGGAAGGCATGGAGTCCTCATAGTACGATGATCTTCTGGAGTTTAATTGATCCTGCTACGCAAGTGATAGAATCCTCTCTCTTTATGTTAGAGCTTTCCCTAACATGTACAATAAAGACTGAACACAGACACTGAGACGTTGAGCACCACCTGCAGAGGTCTGTCCTGCAGACCCGGACAGCGATGGATGACTGAAATACACTCTTACACCCAGTAGAGTGATTTGAGTGGGCTAGGGGTGGTCGTCTGCTGCTTTCAGAAGGTGATTGCAGCTAACAGACCACTGCTCACTGGTTCTCCTCACATTTATTCAGTATATATTTAATAACTGAGGTCCTAAGTCAACATGCTTGTCGATAAATAACATGATTAAAAGAGTGATTTTACAAATGATAAAAGGTCTTAGTTCTGGGGCCCAGAAGAAACACCATTAATGGGTAATTCCCGTTAGACTGACCTGTGAGAGGGTCATCCAGCACAAAGTTTACATGAGTAAACAAATTCGAGTAGGGACAAAGGAATGTGGTGTAAACAGAATTAACTGGGGAAGCTTTTATTATTCCTAATCTTCACTCTATGACCTAAAGGTCTAACATAAGAACGGGCTGCCTTCAGCCAGCTCCATGAGTTAATAAAAACCTTTCAGCCTTCCAAAAGATATCTTATATCCTATCCCTAGTATTTCTCTTAATACTTTGCCCACCACCCCAAGTGAATCCCAGTAGATACCTCCAAGCAGACTGACATAGAACCTCTCATCAACTGCCTGAGCCGATAGTGGTAGATATCACATTTGTCTAACAAAGTAATTACATCCTGTAAGGATACCCACCAGTCCTATGGAGACAATTTGAAAAATTTAGTCAAGGTTCAAACCTGACAGGCACTAAATTATACTTAGAAGAATTAAATCTTACCTTCGTATGTATGTTTTCCTTAATCATAGAGAAGCTACTCGTGTGAATTTCCAAGTTACTGAATATCTTATTCCCTAGAATGAGACACTGCGTAATGTGCTCTGGCAGGAGGGAATGTGGCTATAGTTACGAGACAGGAGATTTGAGCACCGGAACATGAGTGTGAGATGCAGCAGTTCTTTCTCCTTCACATGTGCCCAGAAACAAAGACCCCAGTAGAACAATGGAAGGGTTAAGTCTCCATAATCTGATATGAGATCTTCATCAGGTATTCCACTGTTTATAGTAGGAAATTTAATCTCTAATGAAGGTTTATTTTGGGGATAAAGCTATTCTCCAGGATACTTAAATGCCCCAAAACAGAAAGCACCACAGTGCCCAGTGGCCAGGAGCTACAACACCTGGGCCTGGAAACCAGTGGACAGAAATATCAGCTTCTCTTACCACAAGTATGATGAAAATTTCAAGGATGGTTCTTTCCTTCTCCCTAATCATAGGCTGCCATGCACTGGAGGTCCCGGTACATAAGGAGAAATGTGTCTGCAGTGGGTGCAGAATTAGTGCCATAAAATAGTTGTGCTGCTGTGGTCCTCACACTGTTGGACCAGCTGACCAAGAAAGTGCTGTGAGACCTGCAGTGTTCAATGATTTCTATTATATTTGGGGCTACATTCGCAGCTACCAAGGGAAAGAGAGACAAGTAGCTCTGCCCTTGGTAGAGTCTATGGGTCTATTTTTTTTCCTCCAAAATGAGGTTAAAAAACAAAACACTCATCAACTAAAATTCGGATGATTATCAAGTGATCAAGGACAACAGCCACTCAGTGTTTCAGGGTGTTTTTACCCAAAGTCACACAACATGTGAGAACCTGAACTCTGGAGTCGGGGCATCTCTGAGGAGATTCTGGATATTATCCCTTTGTTAGATGGGTAGATTGCAAAAATGTTTTCCCATTCTGTTGGTTGCCAATTCACGCTAATGATAGTGTCTTTTGCTGTGAAGAAGCTCTTAAGTTTAACTAGATCCCATTTGTTTATCTTGGTGTTTACCATTCAGGACATAGGCATGGACAAGTACTTCATGACTAACACACCAAAAGCAATGGCACTAACTTATTAAACATGCTTCTCATATTTGCTTTAAATTTCCTGCCAGGAAATCCATATGCTTTTTTTTTTTTTTCATTCATGCCAGTCTCTGGACCTTTATGTTTTCCCTCTGCTTGGACAATGTTCCCTGTTTCTTCATTTTTCTTGACTGTCTTTGCTGCTATCTGTTCATCATAACAAACAGCTCTGAGATCATCAAAACAAACGGCCCCTTCAAAGGGCCCCTACTCTTCAAAGACTAGGTTCATAGAGACCACCCCAGTCAGCAATTGTGGATCTCTCAAAACTTCATAATTACATCAGAATATTCAAAACTCTGTCTCTGTTTTTAGCGGGTGCCATGTTTAGAGAATGTTGGGTTGTGCCAGGGCTCCCAAGTAGGGGAGGCAGAAACTATTTACCCTAGCAGCCTCCCGAATAAGTGAACCATTGGACACAGTTTTATTATTGAAGTATAATTCATCAAAATAATATTATTTCAATCACTCATCTAACATTGAAATGTTATAATTTCTCATTCGGATGTCTCTGGAGTTTATATTTTGAATATTTAGGTAAAATTACAACTAGTATAAAGCTGCCTCTTTGGCAAAATGATCTGCTATAGAATTTTCATTTTCTGTGTATCTCTTTTTGCAGTTAAATCTAAGTTTATATTAGTCATGTATCTAGAATACAGAAATATATCTTAAAGTTCCATCGTTTTTTAAAAAGTGTATGTTTTCCAGAAGATGTGAGAACCTTTTTTTACTTATAAAATACCTTATTACACATTGCTGAATAGCTACTCTTTATCTCTGTCCACTCACATTATATTA